ACTGACGTTAATATTGCCTTCCTACTGCCATAAAAAAAAAAAACCATCCTAAGGAGTCTTTCTGCTGTGCCTTTTGCAATCGGATATGTCTGTCACGTATTGGCCTCATAAGCCACCAACGTGCCTGTAGCAAATGTGGATAGAGCCTTCCCAAATCTTCGTTCGCGAAGCCTCGCCATGATAGAACTAATTCCTAGCATTTGTTTAATCTAGTTTTACATGTCTGAAATTAATTGCCTACATCAATTTTCCTGGTAATCCAGATCATGTCTTCTTTTAATTTTATCTGAATATCCCTGTTTATTCACATCCACAGATATTACTGAGAGATATATCTTCTTTAAAAATACTTCTAGCAATTGCTGATGTTTTTTATTCAATAGTTTACTGAGTTTTAACAAATCCCAGTACTTCAGGTGCGAACTGGTCAATGGGAAAAAGGTTTCTAAATAACAGAAAAGTCTGTCTGTGTAGACCCAAAAAGGCCTAAACACTGAGAGATGAAATCCCTTAAGTCAATGAATGCAACTGCCTGCAACAAACTGTGGCAGAAAAATAAGTACTTTCCCCAACCTCATTAAAGGAATCACATTTGCAAAGCTGACCCTTTGGTGGTTACGGACACTCACTTTGCCTGGTGGAATAAATTAAATTAAGTACTTTGTTTAACTATCCCAAGTACAACCAGATAGTTTCTTCCTTATATGGAAAAATTTTTGCTAATTTTACCCACATATACCTTAGTAGGTAATAAAAATGAGGAAGGCTCTACCCCTCAATAACACAGAACAATTATTAGATGGAGCTGTCAAAGGAGCCATAGGTAACAGCAGGGAGTCTTGGATTTTAGTGACTGTGCGAAATCACCATGTTTCAAAATTTAGGATTAGGAAATGTAACTAATTTTTCTATCACAGCTGTACCAGGGCTATGTAAGAACCAAAAACTGCTGTAATTAGCTTCAGCACTAACAGCCTATAAAGAGTTGTGTTCAACATCCATATCAACCCAATTCCCACAGGAACCATGTGAGAGGAATGGGAACAGGAGGACAAGAAGACATGGCAATCCCTGCTCACGGCATCAGCTTTTACCCAGAAATCAAAACCTCCTCTGACACTGTGGTTTTGTTTGTATTGTTTGTAATGTCTGGCAGAGGCAACAACGCACAGCTGGTACCTCAGTCTGAGTGAATTCTGAGGGCTGTAGAAGCAAAACGGGCAAAACAAATGGTTTAAATGAAGCAGGTCAGGCTCTTCCTGCAGTAGTCAGCAGGGTTTTGGCTTTTCTCAGAGGGAACTTCCACTTGTAAAAATTTGTGAAGTCCTGTCAGTTAAAGTGATGCACAAAAATCAGGACAACGCAGAAAATACCTGTGATCACAGAAATTAGCTGGTTTTGCTGCAATCACTGACCTCCCTGCAGCTCCTTTGCTCTCTGGCTGCCAGAGACATGGCAGGGGAACATCTCACACACAAGTTCTGAGATTCCAAGCCCTTGAGAGAGGCACCAGCACTGCTCTGTCACAGCTCAGCTCTCTGACTGTGCCCGATGTGCTCCTTGCCAGGACCCCTCCCTGTGCTCCGGGCCAGGTCAGGATCACCCCCGGGGCTGTCCCAGCCCCTCCTGCAGCCCCCTCCCCACTCCCACTCAGCTCTGATGGGGCACAGTGACCACAGGACACAGAACTCCACCAGGGCTAACTCAGTACAAACAGCCCTTCTCCCTTTCTGGGATGTGGAGCCCCCAGGATCCCACATGAGGAGGAGGGAACACTGAAGAAGGCACTGGATTTCTGTTTGAGAAGCCTCTCCCCACTGTTGTATAAAATCTCCTCCAGTAACCAGAAGTGTGCTCAATATGGCTTCTCTGGCAAGGAAAATGCATTTCTCTGAACAAGAAATCCTCACATTTGAAAGAAATTACAATATAGAGCACTGTAACGTCAGGCATTGCCTGCTTTGCATTTACTGTTCTATTCCAATGGCTTTTTTGAATTCAGAATTTTGCGGTTCGAAAATGTCATAATAAACCCTACTTTTATCAAAATTTTCTCGGATGGAAAGCAAATCCTCTACAGAATATATGTCGTCCTTTCCTGTCCAAACAGTGAGGCTGTACCTACATGCAAAAAAAAGGGAAAACAGCAAAAGAGAAAAAAGCACATAAATCAGAAAAACATTGCACTAATAAGCTCCTAAAAATATTCACGACGATATCTCAATTTTAGTAATGTGATTAAATACCAAAAATTGCAACCCCTAGAACAATTTATCTGCAATTTATCTGTGTGAGTGTTCTGCCAAAACAAGCAAATAGTTAAATAAAAAATCTTGGGCAGATATACAGCAAAGAAATTACCAGGCTGAGCATTTAAGCTTTGACAAAGTAATCAATAGTCACAGGCTGAGCTGCAGAACAGGAAATAGGATGCAATCCCAGACGTGGGTGATTGTCATGCTCTGTTCTGTCGCCTCAGTGATGTGCAGTGATGCCACCTGATTAACTGAATTGTCATTAATTGCATGGAACTTTTCAAAAGACATGAAAATCTCCACAGTATCAACCACAGTTAAAAGCATTACTCTCCACAATCTCATCATGACATATACTTAATGTTCCCCTTTGTATAATAAAACTGTATTAATTTAAAATATGGGTAAATCAGAATTTAATTATATGTCAGTAAAACTGGCTCAGGAATTTCTGTCTTCTAATCATGCCACTAACAAATCATGACTTTTATTCTGAGGTGAAAGAGAAAATCCTAATATTTCAGTGGGAATACTGCTTGTATCCAATGTGGATATATTCGAGACTGGCACAATTCATAAGACATATTCTTAATGCAGTAATATTGTGAAATTAATTCTTACTGTAGGTAATGAAAAAGAAGCTTTTGGAAACTTATTATTTTACAGAAATTAATAGTGACCAATTCTGTCAAATGAAACAAACAATGTGAGAGCTGAAGGAATTAAAGAACTGAAAGGGAAAATATTTCCAATGTCACTGGAATAAGTGTGTTGTATTTAATTTAACAGCTGTGTTTATAACAGGACAGGTGGGAATGGAGGCTCCCAGACCAACCTGTCTGACTGCTGGATCAGCCAGCGGAGAGCAGGGAGGGAGCGCGGCACTAGCACGGCCCTGACAGGGAATGTCACGGGCTGGGACAGGGCCTGGCACAGTTGGGACATCTCCTCCACCATCCCCCAGTCGTACCCTGCAGGGAACAACATTGGATTGAAAAAACCCTTCACAAAGAACCCCCACCCAACCCAGAGCTTGACAGAGTGATTCAGCTGTGACACAAAATGAGCAAAGTCAGGGACTGGCGAAAATCGTAGAATTCTGAAAGGAAATTTCCAGATGGTTCTAAGAAAAAATAATCCCAGAGGAAAAAGGTAATATTAACATGGGAAAATAAACCGATTATTAAAACCTTCCTCTGCAGTAGCTGCACTGTTATTTCACGTACAGCCACAGAATGTGATGTTTTTAAATTCGCTGCCACTGACTCCAGTATGGACTCGTCTGACATTGACAGGGACCCTCTAGAAACAAAAACAGGAAGGAAAAATTAGGGAAAAAATTTGAATGAATCCCATAGGACTGAGTTATACACAAACAAAGCACACAAAACATTCTGCGCTTAAAAAAATGCAAACATCAAGCAATCTAAAACACTCCAAGTGCCTCTGCTGAGATTTTTACAAGCACTGCAGCTACCTAAAATATGATTTAACTGTTCTTTTGTTTCCACAGGTTATGAAAATCTTACAAACAACAGTTAAAAATTTTTCTCAATTACTCATATGCAATGTGTGACTGGAAAGAATAAAAAAGCACCAAATATTAAAAAAATAGTCTTGTTGGACAAACAAAAACTTTTAGTTGAAATCAGTCAAATGAGCTGTTTTTCCCAAGTCTTCCAGCATACCCTTAATTAGTATTACCATAAACTGAAACCTAGAATGGAGAGAACATTAAATTAATTTTAAAATGTTACTCAGTATTTCCAATGCATATTTCCACCAACTTTTTCCTGCGCTGAAAATATTTGAGAGAAAGCACTGAACAGTTTAATAAAATCACTGTGCATCATACAGCAAAATACTAAATCTTGCTAAAGAGTAATCAGCAATTGCAACAGTGTATAATTTAGCCCTGGTGGCCACAGACAATGCTGGTGGGGACCCTGCTGATCATAATGAGAATTACAAGAAAGAGGAATACTGTGAAAAGGACCCAAAAATAATGAAAACTGGAAAATTCACTGCAAAAATTCAATTATTCAATAGAAATGAAGACAAGGTTAACTAACAATTTGATTTCAGTGATCAAAAGAAGCACAGACAGGGTTTTAAATTTCTGGATAGTCTGTTTTTCCTCAGGAAACATGCCAGAATTCCAATTACCAAACCAATCCTTCAAGGATTCGGGGAGAGACCTACCTGAAACAGGGGCTGAGGAGTTTGTCTCCCTAAGCTCCTCAGTGCATGAGAATGATTTGAAGAACAAAAGAGTTTATTTTAACAACAAAAAGATCAGATTTTTACGCAGTCCAGTTGCCAGTCCAACACTGAGGTAATTGCAGGATCACACTGCATCTCACACACCAGCAAAGAAAATCATTCTCATGTCATTCACTACGAGTTTCAAATAGAGGATGTTGCAGAGCTTGTGTTGAGTCAATTAAGAGACAAATGTGAAGAAAAGCAGCCGTGCAGGGTGAAGGCCTGGCTAAGAGCTATGTACCTTGCCCGTGGTGGTGGCCGTGCCAGCCTGTGGTCCAGCCCAGGGACAGGGTGATGTCGGGGAAGGTCGAGGTGATGGTGCCGAGGATGCTCTGAGCATTCAGCGCCGGGCGGCTCCCACCGGGCCCCGCCAGGATGTCCCCGTTGATCCACACAGGTCTCCTCAGCTGCTGCTCCACCTGCCCCAGCAGCTCCAGGGATGGTCCCACGGCGTCCAGGCTGTGGAGGACCACCACGGGAACCAGGGAAGGCACAGCACGTACAGAATGGGTGCGTTACTTAACTGTCCTGCTCAGACACTAAGCGAATGCTGACGACCCTCTGTCAGCAGGGGACTTGTCCTACACCTCTCAGGACGCCATTCTGCCACACCCCTACTCCCAGAACCTCCTGGTGTCACCTCACAGCCCCCCAGGCTTGTCACCTCTTCGTCTTGAAGGGTGCTTGAGAAGGGTTTTAAAAAAGGAAGCTACTGCAGGCTCCAACACTTCTGTTTAATGAGACCTGAAATCCATAGATACTGTAAATACATTTATTTATATATATTCCTGTGGTTTATATCCAAGGGGTGAAAATAATCTCTTCCAACCTTAACCACACTCAGCATTGCAAAGATTTTATCACTATGTCAGATCCAGACTGAAAGTTACCTTCACACCTTTGCAAGCCAATCCACCCATACTAGGACAATAAAAAACCCCAAACTGAACATTTTCATGCAACTAAAAGAGTAAAAGGACACCCATTTCAGCACTTGATGCCTGGTCATGATTTTCCCTGCAGTTCAAAAGTGTGGCAGCACAGAAAATCTGCCTGTCAGACGTTCACCCCACATTTAATGATTAAATTATTAAATATGAGTTGTCATTATTTGAGCAACCACTGCAGCACACCTTGTAAGCATTTAACAAAATCTAGAGTCATGTATTCTGACTGTTCTTTCAAATCAAAAGAAAAAGCACAGGTAGCTTTTTCTACCTCTATCCCATCAAAACTTTCAAAGCACCAGTACTCTGGAAGAGATGTGGAACAATGGGGAAAAGGAACGAATGCCAAGAAAACCTTTTTTCTCTTACAGCACATGAATTAACACTTTATAAAACGTTCAGGAATTTAAAATCATTATAGTCAGAGCTCTCATATTAGGTCAGCTCTAAAGCCAAAAACTGTCCCCTGAGCTGCTTGCATTGTTTCCTCTGAAAAGTCATTTTGCATATTTTAACTTTTGTATAGTGACAGGAATTCGACTCAGTGCTTCCAGCTGAGATAAGCTCAAGTCTTACAGGAGAAAAATTAGTGATGGCCTGAGTTAACGTGAGGGCTTCAGCATTTCTTGCACTGTCTGAGGCCAGGACAGTTCACATCTGTCAAGGACAGTGAAGAGCCTTCCTTTGTACTACAAAGTATAAGGCATTGTAGAGAGAAAAAAGCCCAAAGCAGCATCTCTTGAAATAAACAACAACACAGAAAAAAAACCCCAAAGCAAACATCAAATTCTGTTATCACTCATTTGACTCCATCTGCACTGTGTAATGTATTTTTAAATGCTTTTATACAACTAGACTTTTATAATGCAACATACTTTTAAAAGCTTTTTTCAAATCACTGCAATTGGCTATAAAGTCCTCATGGAAAAACAAAAAGTAGGTGGTTTTAAAATTAATTTAAACAATAATTAAAATAGAAAAAAAAATCCCCAAACCCACAAGAAATAAACCCAAATGCCTACTTTGCTTTATTCTCTTCTCTGCCCAGACGGACATATACAGATTCTGTAACAACAAACAGATTTAGCCTGCCCACATATTTTGCATTTTCAAGAACTTTTAGACAAAAACAGTGACTGTGTTACACAGAACAACAGGCATAAATCACATTTTACAACTATCTGTTGGGGTTTTTTGCACTTTTATAGCGTAGTGAGCTATATTACAAGAACATCGATGAAGTTCAAATTACAAGAGCATTGATGAAGCTCTTTGTAATTTGCTGCCAAAACAGACTTTGCATATGGAAATTCAGACAAAGCTGAAGTCAGGAGCTGCAGAAGTGAATGTCTGGAAATCACAGCTTACTTCCAAGGCTATCTCATGGGGTTTTCAGGTGTATTTTCCATTCAAGACAATGAAACAGCTAATGGTTAAATTCTGAATGAACCTCTGAAAATCTAGTTAATAAATCAGGCCAAAGATAGGAGCCTTCCAGAGGGATACCACCATTTCCCTTTTCCCAACAGAAAAAGTCTGCCCGAAGTAACTAAAAAAATATTATTTGCAGTTCAAAACACTTTCAAAGCTTTTATTCTTGTGATGCATTTATTAATAAAGATGATGTTTCCTCATTTCTTGCTTAGGAAGGAATGCATCACACAAAATGGCACAATAGGAAAAAGTCTGGTCAACCATCACCTGTAAAATTGTTAACCAGTAAGATTGCAAACAACATAAAAATCTTTTTGTGGAGATACCTCTTAAAATCCAGCTTGATGCCTTTATTGGTGTTGACCATCTGTGTCAGCCACTCCTGCAGTGTGATGTCACTGTCTGTGTCAGGGGGGTGAGCCAGGATCGGGTCTCCCTTCCCTCCCTCCCCACCACGGAGGAGAACATCAGCTTCTACCATGTGCACATTGCCTGGAGGGGATAAAAACTGAAGCTCTAAGGTGCAAAACCAACAGTTTCAGTGTCTGCTTCACAGCAACAATTACTCAGCAAGTCTTCCCACACCAGCCTGTGTTCACTTACTCCACACAGGCCATCCCCAGTGGGAACTGCTGTCTGTGACATGAAAGATACATTTCTCTGGTTACTTAACTCACAAACTCTTTAAAGATTTACAGGCATGTGAAAATTGATTTTTTTAGATACATTTGGCTGAGTAATCACATGGGGTTTTTTTCATCAGAGAAACAGAAAAATGGACATCCAGCATGTGAATCCACTCTTGTTAAATTTCAAATCTTTTCCTCTCAAAACAGGGTTCCAGACAGATACTTTCAGAGTAAAGATGAGCACAGGATTTAAAAGTGGCAGAGACTGAGCACTCCCCTTGTCTCATTCTCAAACCTGACCCGCCCATCTCTGTCAAAACTTTAAAAACAAGTCAGCCAGCCAGGAAAACGAGAGCTGAAACACAAGACAGGCGAATGGGAGTCTTAGGAATGCTGCAAGCTCTAGAAAACAGCTTTATATAACGAGTCTGGGCAGTGCTGCCAGCTTTGCAGAGAATCCAATACAGTTCCTTAGACTAGAATACTAATAATAAAGCTAGTAATGATATTCAAGAGAAGGCACATTGCATATGGAATTACATAAATATTTCCCAAATATTCATATAAATTCACATAAAATTCCCTGCTGCCCAGACTGGGGCATCACGGATTTTCTCATTCTACAACTCCCTGACAGGAGGTGGAGCCAGTGGGGATTGGGTTCTGCTCCCAGGGAACAAGAGACAGGACGAGGGGAAATGGCGTCAAAGCTGTACCAGGGAAGGTTTAGTTTAGGCCTTGGAAGGGGCTGTCCAGGGTGGTGGTGGAGTCCCCATCCCTGGAGGTGTACAGAAGGTGTGAAGATGTGGCATTTGGGGACACGGTTTATTGGGTCCGGTGGTGCACGGACGAAGGCTGGACGCGATGGTCCCGGGAGGGCTTTTCCAACAGTAATGACTGAGCAGGGCAGGAAAGGCAAAGGAGAAAGGAGAAAGGGGAAAGGGGAAGGGCTGGCAGGGCCAGTCCCGCACTCACTTCGCGCAGCCGCGGCCGCCCGGGCCCTGCTGTTGGCGGCGTGGAACCAGCGCACGGCGGCCCCGTCCCGCGCCGTGATGCACCCGGAGCGGAAGAAATGATCCACGGGCCACTCGCTCCAAGAGCCTGCGGGGACATCGGGGTCCCTCAGCACCGCCCGCACGGGAGGACACGGCGGGACCCTCAGCACCGCCTGGAACCGCCCCAGCCCCGCCTGGGCTTCTCCACCGCGGGGCCCAGGGTGGTGGAGCTCCCCTGTCTCCGCTCCTCACCGGCGACTGATGGAGCCCCTCTCCCCTGTCCCCGCTTCCCGAGGGCCGAGCCCGCCCACGCCGCCGCCATCGCTCACCCGCGGTCCCGCTCGCCATGGCCCGGCCTGTCCCGGACTGTCCCGGCCTGTCCCGGCCTGTCCCGTCCTGCCCGCGGGGGTTGGGCCGTTCCGGCACCGCCGCCGCCACAGCGGGGCGGGACCGGGGGGGGCGTGGCAGGGCAGGTTTAGGAAGGGAAGGTTCGGGAACGGAATGTTTGGGAAGGGAAGGGACAGCACGTCCGGGACAGTAGCCCTGGGGTCGACAGTGTGCCTGCAAAAGGGGGAATATTTCAACGTTACTCTAAATGAGGATGTTCTTTGCTGTTTGGTCTCCACGTACTTTCCTGATCAGCAAGGAAAGAGACCTGGTTAGTGGGACAGGCAGCAGCTGCATCCCTTACAGGAGGACATCCTGGAACTCACCAGCCGTAAGGGCGCAGTAAAGGATGTCCTCAGGGCAAGAGGACAGTCGTAAGGTGTGCCAGGGAAGGCTGTACATCAGCAGGAACTTCTCTCTGGAAAGGGTGGTCAGGCATTGGAAGGGGTTGCCCAGGGAGGTGATGGGAGTTCCCATCCCTGGAGGTGTCCAAGGAACGACTGAACGTGGCACTCAGTGTTCTGGGCTGGGTGACAACGTGGAGATCAGGCACAGGGTGGACTCAATGGTCTGGGAGGCCTTTTCCAACTTAATTTGATTCTGTGTGAAATAAAGATGTTGATGTGTGCCTATGTACACATTGCTAATTGGCAAAATACTCAAGGTCTGTGTATCCTGTGGCTGAACTGTGTTCATTATAATACTAAAACCCACACTTACAGGCCAAAAAAGACCCAGCCCAGGTGCAGACCCTTCCCCTGAGCACATGTAGAAGTTGGCTGGCGTTGTGTAACCTCTAGGGAAATGACTGATTAATCCTGATAGAGGGGCTGTGCTTGGGAAGTTACTAATTCTGGATTTCTGTGTGTAAATGATGACACAGAAAGTCCAGTTGTTGTGCTGGATTTGTGGAACACACTGCGAACCCGTGGCCTGTGAAGTTCTGAAATAAATATTCAGTGTCTCTCAGGTGTGTATTGGCTTGCTGCACACCAGATGACAAATCAGATTTTGTGGACGAAATCAGGAGTTCCCAGAAAGCTGCAAAGACAGGACACATCCACCCAAATCATGTCTTTTTTCCTGTTTTATTATAAATAAGAGACAGAGAGTGCAAGCACTGTAGTTAACTTTATTGATCATTACTGAAAAGGGGTTAGTAGAGGGTAAGTGCCAAGAGACAGCTGTTGGTTTGGGTACCTCTGCAGACACCCGTGGGGTGCAGAGTGCTGGTCACAGCCACCCCAGCCCCACCACAGCCTGGAAATGCTGCTTGGCCTCAAGGGCCCAGGGGCAGCTTGTTTTCAACAAAGGCATGTTTTGTTCCTGCTGTGCATGGTGTGAGTCCAGCCCTTCTCCAGGAGGGCAGTATCTCTGAAGAAGTCAGCACAAAGAAGCTGAAATGCAGCTCAATTTCCTCCAGGGTAAGATCTTGAAGCCTGAACCCTTCTAGCACCAGTGTGTTAAAGCACAGGTAACAGAAGAGCAGATTAGGTTAAAGGTTAATTTACAGATCGTTTTTGATACAAAAACATAAAATATCCCCTATTAGCATCAAGATGGCATCAAAATTTTAATACTTTCATTATAAAATTGTACCAGCATTTCTACTGAAAACAATATAGATGTTGTATATATTTAGTTTTGGTTCTGCTCCTGACAAACAGTCCTGTGGCAGTTACCAAACCTGCATTGTGGTTCCACGAACCTCAGTACAAATCACATGCATCACAAATACATAAATAGATCTAAGTGACCCAGTATCAAAAATACGTACTATGCAAGAACCTCAAGTATACTAAAAATCCCCAAATGGTTGGGGTTGGAAGGAACCTTAAGGACTTCCAACACCCCTGCCATGGGCAGGGACACCTTCCACTAGAATCGATCTGTTCATGAAAATTCACACTTAATACATCTATTCTCCCTGAAAGTAAAGGTGGCTACTAGAAGGTGGCAAAAGCAGCAGACAGGAGCAGAAAAAATACTGCAGAATTCTTGTCTGACTTATTGCTACATGTAGATTATATCAAGGCTAATCTTTTTTTTATAATCCTTGAAAGGTCAAATTGTATCAGGACTTCTAAACCACAGTAAAGGAAAAAAAAGAAAGCACTTTTTATAAAAATAGCATCAATTTAAGTTAGCTAAAACGTTAAAAATACAAGAAAGATATCAGTTATTCTATAAAACATTAATGCAGAGCATATGTTTCTGAAGCACCAGCATCAATCCCCATGTTAAGGAGCTCACCCACAAAGTCTTCAACACACCTGCAGAGTTCGCCCTGCCCTGACACACGGGGCTCACAGTCAGCTACAGAGGGTCTCGTGTCTGCACCTCAGAGGGCAGGGGAACAGTTCTGGGCCAGCTTTGCTTCAGTGTTCAGCTCCTTTGCAGGTGGGAAGCACTTGCTGCAGAGATTACATTTAACCATAGCAACTTGTAGTAACACACTTATTTGAGGTTGAGGCAAGGCAGTATGGCTTGGAGTTACTCTAGGTATAGTAAATGCTACAGCTGTGTAAAGATTAACAAAACCTGCCCTCTTCTGCACCTGTATTAAGTGTAAACTTTCAGGACTTTAGGAACATTACAAACTACAATTCCTTTGTGGTAGAGTAACCAGGGAGGATCTGAGGGGGTTAAAAAAACAGTTTGAAAAGCTATTAAATGCAACAGGTTTAGAAACTTTAACATTGTTAGTGTTTGTGGCATTATAACTTTGGTGTTCAGATCTAGCAAATCAGTATATTGCCTGTCATCAGCCTTATCAAAACAAGTGTTCTGTAATGAAAAATATTAATTCCATTTTCACTGGTAGTGTGGTAGGATCTGACATTCCACCATGAATCACAGGAATCAGAGCACTGTCCAAGTCATTCAGATAGTTCTGTGGAAGAAGATGACCTCCAGATCCAGCTAAGTATTCAACCTAGGAGAGAAACACATTAATATTGATATTAATTAACACTTTTTATATTAACAAGACAACACTACAAGTGTAGTATCTCACTAAAAGAATATCTCAACTAGCATGAAGTGAGAAACTAGTCACTAAAGCAGCTTCTTCACCTGGGGTATGGCAAAACATTTAAAACACTCAGGGAGAGATCCACGGTCTGTGCAAGGGAAGATACTTCAGTGGAAATGGGGAGTCTGCAATGAAAGTTGAAAGATTACCATATCTGAGTCAATGGAAACTCTCAGGCCTATCTTATTCATTCCATTACTTTTCAAGGTTTTGAGGTGAGGGCAGAGAGCAGTGCTGCAGGCAGTGGCAATCTCTTTAGCAAACTGGTGAGGAACAGCACTGGAGAGTTCATTGTCCTTCACAAAATAGCAAACCTGAAACCAGAGAAAGGGTAAGAACAGTGAGCTGCCTGGTTACATCCCAAAGTAAGGAAAAAGAGTAATTCAGTGTGCACATAACACAGCACAGAGCAAGCTCTAGTGCCTTATTGGCTGGCAAACTACCTAAGTGTTTCAGCTATTCAATCCCAACACCTCAGTGCCCATGGGAATGCCTGGGCTATGCATTTACAGAGCTGTCAATGCTAACAGACTTCTAGTCTTTTTCAGGGGAGAAAAATGAAAAGTATGTAAACTCACCGAAGAGCCACAGAGAACATGCTGCCTATCAGCGTGGCTACACATGAAAGCAGCCACATTTTTTAGTAGTATCACTTCGTACGATCCACTTTACCCCTTAACTATTCAAAAAGTACCGAAAAAGGCTCAAGAACAATGTAATTCACTAACTTCAGTGCACTTCATAACTTTTCCCTCTCTTTCGAAGTCTCTGCCTTGTGGTGCTTTTTCACTCTGAGTTCCTCCAATTGATTTTCCATCTACTGGGCTTAAAATTCTGTGGAAGACAATAGTATAATTAATAATTAAAACAACATTTTATGGTTTAGATTGAGTCATTTTTACGAAATAATGTTTATCCATCCTTAAAACAAAATACAATACAGGGCTTGCATCATGAAAATACAGATGCTACAAAAAGAAATAAATAGGGAACTAAAAGCACTTAATATAAAGCCAATCTTGCAGGTTTAAGAAGCTATAAACCATTTAAGGTATGGACCACTGTTTTTCAATAAAAATACTTCACATTAATTTCAGGAAACCGAAGGCAAAAATCTGAACATTGGAAAGATGAATTCTCTAAGATGTTCTGCTTTGGCAGTACATTTACCCTTTGTTTGTTTTCTCTTCATTTTCTACCCAGCAAATATCCACGTATTCTTTTACATCCCCTGTATCCATTTTTCCACAGGTAATTCTGAAGTCTTTCTTGTCTCTCAATGCCTGACGTAGGCTTTCCATTGTTTCTCGTGTTATTTGTACCATTAGTCCATCTAGAACAAATCCAGTTAAAATCCCAAATTATCTACAGGAAGAGCAGCACAGCTTTTTAGTAGAATCATGGCTTAAATTCTAGTGGGATCAACCCTCCCCTACAGCTAATTAATAAAAGGACAAAAGGACTCCATCCCCCAACTACAGTGTTAAATGTTACATGAAAGAGGAAGAAAACCTTTTTGTCAACAGAACTAAAGCTAAAACATAATTCTTGGACTAATCTTAGAATTTTTTTTTAATTTATGTGCCAATATATGTATTTGAGGAATATGGCAATGAAAACAGGAAAGACTTGAACTGACTAAAGAGATTTAAAACTTTGTATGGTTTTTAACAAGTATCTGAACTAACATGTATTTTTTTACACAGTATTTTGTTTGCAACAGGTTTTCTATAAAGTTAAAAAACCTTGAAGAGTTTAGCTTACTGAGGCATAAAACCTTACGCAAGACTGCTGCTTTTATTTTTTGTGTAAGTTCTCTTAAGAGGAAAATACACAGGACAAAATTCTTACCTTCAACTATACTGGATTTAGCTAAAAATCCTGAAGATGTTTTTAAGGCTCCATTAAACACCACAAAACTTGCACCTGTAACTAGAAAAAGTAGGAACAAAGTGAGCACCACTTCATGTCACTCAAGTCAGTCACTACTAACATTCCACTAACACTCCTTTTTAAACACATTTCAGTGTGCCACCAGTGTTGCATTTTCCT